ACCCTGCGTCCCAGGTCGTGGGGAGCCGCACCCTGCACCCTGCGTCCCAGGTCGTGGGGAGCCGCACCCTGCACCCTGCGTCCCAGGTCGTGGGGAGCCGCACCCTGCACCCTGCGTCCCAGGTCGTGGGGAGCCGCACCCTGCACCCTGCGTCCCAGGTCGTGGGGAGCCGCACCCTGCACCCTGCGTCCCAGGTCGTGGGGAGCCGCACCCTGCACCCTGCGTCCCAGGTCGTGGGGAGCCGCACCCTGCACCCTGCGTCCCAGGTCGTGGGGAGCCGCACCCTGCACCCTGCGTCCCAGGTCGTGGGGAGCCGCACCCTGCACCCTGCGTCCCAGGTCGTGGGGAGCCGCACCCTGCACACTGAATTCCAGGTCGTGGGGAGCCTCACCCTGTATACTGCGTTCCAGGTTGTGAGGAGTTAAACCCTGCACCCTGCATCCCAGGTCGTGAGGAGCCTCACCCTGCACACTGCGTCCCATGTCATGGGGCAGTGCACTCTGCATCGGGGCTCAAGGGGAGTGGCACACGGCTGCCTCCCACATTCACCCCTCCCAATTCCAGGTTTCCTGGAGGGTGTGTCTTTAGTGGGTTGTGTGCCTTTGGGAGTGAACTGAGACTGCCTCTCCCTCAGGGGATGCCTAGGGCTCTGGGATGTGTGCAGACATGCCCTGCTCTCATGTGCCCTGCTCTCACATGCCCTGCACTCACATGGCCTGCTCTCATGTCATGGGCATGACCAGGTGACGTCGTGTCTGTGCTCTTACTGCTGCTGTATTTTATTCTGTAACTGTAGTTAATTCTTAGTTGTTACTTACTAGGTCCTCTGTGCATTCTCTCATTACGTCCTCAGAATACACCAATCGATAAAGCATCATCTGCTTTCATATAATGTGATGATGGTTGATTCCAAAGACTTATGTGAAGAGAAAATGTTGTGGGCCCCCAGATCACGAAGTTGGAGGAAAAAGCGCACCTGGGAGCTCTTAGGGCAGACGCGCCTCCCGTTGCACTCAAAGGCAGCCCTCTGCTCACTGACATAGACGCATATCTGATTGCCTCCTTCGGAAAAGAGAAGCAGAAACTCAAAGAATGCAGCCATTTGTCTCTCACCTACCTGTGACCAGAAGCCCCCCGCCGACCTTGGAGCTGCCTTCCCTTCGCATCACGTCCTCCTGCCTCTCCAGGCCGAACCAGCGTTCATCTTACACGTTTTGATTGATGTCTCCTGTCTCCCTAAAATGTGTAAAGCCTAGCAGTGCCCCAAAGACCTTGGACAGTGTCGTCAGAGGCCGTGTCATGGGCGTGCCCTTGATCTTGTCAAAATAAACTTTCTAAATGGACTGAGACCTGTCTCAGGTGTTTGGGGTTCACACCTGTCACTGGGGTGATGTCCGTGACCCGTGAGAGATGCAGCCTCTGTCTCCCCTTCTTTCTTGGAGCAGCCCCTGGCCCCGTCCATGCGGCCCTGGCGGAGGCCTCGGTGACAGGGGACCCTGTGCAAGGGGCAGCTGTGGAGGAAGGGCAGGGAGAGAGGATGGGCAGACCCCCACTTCCCATTACCTGGAAGCCAAGGTGAATCTTCACCCACACCCTGTCTGCTCCTTCTGCTTTCAGGTGTTTGGGATACTCCAGGATCCCACAGGAAATGACCCTCACAGCCAAAGGATTTTGGCCAGGCTTCTGTAGCTGTGGGGCAGGCGGGGCCTGACCATGGCATTTGATCTCATAACGGGTATCAGTGGGCATCTTATAAACACAGCCGCATTATCGATCGGTGTATTCTGAGGATGTAATGAGTTTCCAGTTCACCCCTGCAGCTCTGGAGGCTGGAAGTCCAAGGTCAAGCACTAGCAAACCGGGTGTCTGCGGAGGGCCACCCCAGTTTGGAGAAGGGACAATCTCCCTGCGTCCTCACATCGTGGACAGGACAAGGCTGCTCTCAGGGTCCTCAGAGGGGCAACCTTCCCACCCTGGGGCACCCCTGTCCTGGCCTCCTCACCTTCCAGAGGCCCCGCCTCCCAACACCAGCCCCTTGGGGATTAGGTCAGCACACAAATCTGACGGCGCGAACGTTCAGTCTGCAGCAGTGAGGGCTCAGGGCACCCTGAGCACTAACGCTAGACCCAGGGAGCTGGACGCCCCAACCCCATCCCGCATCCCCCACCTTGAGCCCTCTTCTCTGAACAGCTCCCTGTCACCCACAGTGGAAGTCAGGGACATCCCCAGGCTTCCCTCACACCACACAGCCCACCTCGGTGGTCCTAGCCACTCTTCCTCTAAAATACACCCATGCCCTCCACCCTAGGCACCCATTTCTCCTATGGCTGCTGGTGCATGCAGGCCTGGAACTAGCCCGTGCTCTTCAAGTCACAGTGGCTGCCTGCACTGGTGGCTCAGGTCACATCTGTTAAGTACAGAAGCAAGTGACATTATGATGGCCTAGTCCTTCACGGACTTCAATGGGCCACGTGAGACCCCCTGACATTCAACCCAAGTGCATGGATTTCCGTGAGCATCCCCTGGTAAGGCAGTGCCACCTGTGACTCTCAGAGCACAAGCTCTGGGCGAAGTGCCCGGATTTCTGCACGCACCCCCGTGCTAAGGCAGTGCCCTTGTGATTCTCAGAGCAGAAGCTCCGGGTGAAGTGCCTGGATTTCCGCACACACCCCCCGGTAAGGCAGTGCCCCTGTGACTCTCAGAGCACAAGCTCCGGGTGAAGTGCCCGGATTTCTGCACGCACCCCCGTGCTAAGGCAATGCCCCTGTGATTCTCAAAACAGAAGCTCCGGGTGAAGTCCCTGGATTTCCGCACACACCCCCCGGTAAGGCAGTGCCCCTGTGACTCTCAGAACACAAGCTCCGGGTGAAGTGCCTGGATTTCCGCACACCCCCCGGTAAGGCAGTGCCCCTGTGACTCTCAGAGCACAAGCTCCGGGTGAAGTGCCTGGATTTCCGCACACACCCCCCGGTAAGGCAGTGCCCCTGTGACTCTCAGAACACAAGCTCCGGCTGTCCTTCAGTGATGAAAGGCAGTCATGAGTGGGAAGCACTGAAGTGATTTTGGGTCCGGCAAATGGGAATGGAAAGCCACATGGCCTGGCTTTGGGCTGCGGCGTTTCCCACTCCCCCAGGCTCCCACTTCTAGCAAGATGGGCATGGGGAGGCGGGATTCAGCCTACGAGCTTTCCCAGTGGGGTCGGGGTGGGGGCTCCTGTCCCCACATTCGTCCTGGGAGAGGGCGTGCGGCCTCGGCTGTAATTCCAACCTTTAAAATCAGTAAAGCACTTGGCACGTTTGCCCCTCGGAAGCAGCACAGCCTCAGCGCCGTTGGGTTGTATTGGTTTGTTGTTGTTGTTGAGACACTGTCGCCATGTCACCCATGCTGGAGTGCAGTGACACAATCTCGTTTCAGTGCAGCCTCCGCGCTGAGGTTCAAGCGATTCTCCCACCTCAGCCTCCTGAGTAGCTGGGATCACAGGTGTGCGCCACCACGCCCAGCTAATTTTTTGTATTTTTAGTAGAGACAGTGTTTCACCATGTTGGCCAGGCTGGTCTCAAACTCCTGACCTCAAGTGAAGCGCGCACCTCCGCCTCCCACATTGCCGGGTTACAGGCGTCTGCCAACCCCCTGGACCTTGGTTGTACTGCTGTACCCTGTGTGTCCTCACTGAGGAGCAACACGCATGACAGAGAACCACAACATTGTCGCTGTGATTTACTTCTGGAAGGCACGTTCACGTTGAAATCCCGTACCTTAATGAGGAGTTTATATAAGAATAATTCTGCCATTGGCCTCAAGATGATTTCTAATATTGTGATCCAAATGTGGTCAAAAATCTTAGGTTAAGATGCACAATGTACTTTTAAAAATTCCAGACAGTGGCTGGGTGTGGTGGCTCATGCCTGCAATCCCAGCACTTTGGGAGACTGAGGCTGGTGGATCACTGGAGGTCAAGAGTTCAAGACCAGCCTAGCCAACAAGGTGAAACTCTGTGTCTACTAAAAATACAAAATTTAGCCAGCCATGGTGGCAGGTGCCTGTGTTCCCAGCTCCCTGGAGGCTGAGGCGGGAGAATTGCTGAACCCGGGAGGCGGAGATTGCAGTGAGCTGAAATCATGCCACTGCCCTCCAGCCTGGGCGACAGAGTGAGACTGTCTCAAAAATAAATAAAAAATAAAAATCCGGACAGTAAAGATGAAGTCATAATAAAAATGTATTGAGAATAAAAACAGTTCGCCTCTGAAATGCGTAGTATGTAGGGAATGTTTGCAAGCAACCCCAGCTCTTGTTAGTTGGAAACATAAGCCTATCTATCCTACACAGCCAGCTCAAGAAAGAGCAAAAGGCAGGAGTTCCCATCATCACGACATGAGAGTAACTTCTTCAATTCGGATGCTCTGACTCCAGTCAACTTTCATTTCATAATTGAGATAATTTTGGTTCTTGATCCAAACAATGTAGTGTGTAGCTTTGAATTTGTTGGCAAATTCGTGTGTGTGTGTGTGTGTGTGTGTGTGTGTGTGTGTGCGTTCATGTGTGTACGTGTGTAATGGAGTTTCTTGTTACCCAGGCTGGAGTACAATGGTGCAATCTCGGCTCACTGCAACCTCCGCCTCCTGGGTTCAAGCAATTCTCCTGCCTCAGCCTCCTGAGTAGCTGGGACTACAGGCACGCACCACCACGCCCAGCTAATTTTTTGTATTTTTAATACAGACGGTTTTGCTGTGTTGGCCAGCCTGGTCTGGAAACTCCTGATCTCAGGTGATCCACCCGCCTCGGCCTTCCAAAGTGCTGGGATTATAGGTGTGACCCACCAGGCCCAGACACATTTTATTTTTTTTTTTATATGTAAAAATGAATTAACACATCGGAGACTTTTGCATATGGGAAAAGTAAAGATTGTTTTATTTAAAAACTCAGTGTTATGGAAGGTATTATAGTAGAATAAACTTTATAAAACAATCTTTAATGACTACTTTTTAAAATTCATCCCTTTCATACTTAGCGGGCAGGGGAGATACCATGATCACGAAGGCGGTTTTCCCAGGGCGAGGCTTATCCATTGCACTCTGGAGGTGCCGCCGTCTGCGATTTCCCCAAATGTGGGAAACTCGACTGCATGATGTGTGGTACTGGGGACTGCGTTCGCGCTTTCCCCTGAAGAAATAAATAAAATTCATCCCCTTGTCACGATTAAATTAAGCATTACAGATTTATTTTGCTGCGAAAGGGAATCTAATGGCAACCCCCCCGGGAGGAAATTAGATGAAAACTTGGATTTCCAAGCTTCCTTTTAGTTCTAACCTGTAACTGTTCCGCAGCGCTGCAGTGACCTGTGATTTTGATAACGAGTGGGAACGTGTACTTCGATGTTTCATTCCAAACACTACAACTCTGGACATTTTTTTCCTCTGTTAGGATTTTTAGTACGTTAAGATTTGAGAATAATGGAACTATTAACAAGAAAACAAAAGGAAACGTAAAAGCTACCCTCAAACTCCCTGACTCTTCACTTGCTTTGTAAATGTAAAATGCAAATGATTCTGAGTTCTGTTTTTGAGACTCTAAATCGAAAACTTGATAGTTCCTGCTTCATGCTTATTGCAGGCTCCGCTTTAACTGGAGAGGCCTGTGCTGGCTCCCACGGTCCCCACGTGGGTCAGAGGCAGCGGCCCTGCTCTCGCGCGTGGGAGCACTCTTGGATGTAAGTGGCCGAGTCTCCTGAATTCTACCAGGGAGGATGAACCTCTCGAAATGCCTTCTGTGAGAGCGGTTTTCCTGCGGAGAAGGGAACGCTGGGCTGACTCTAATTGCTTTTCTAGTTCTGCCACAGACAGACCGACTGACTTGAGGCAAGTTACCTCATCTTAGTTTCTAAATTCTTATTTGTCAAGGAAAGGAGTTTCTTCTAGCCTGGGTCTTGTCCTCGCCCCGCTCCCCACGTCAGCCACCTTCATGTGCTGTTCCTTTGTGGGCTGGTTGCTTCCTCAGGACATTCCTCTGTCCCTCTGAAGTGGGGGTGACCCTGCCCTACGGTCATCATTTCTGAGCTCCCGAGGGATTCCCTGTCCACACCGCAGTCTTCTCTGGGTGCCAGGTGTTCAGAGGCGGCCCTGATACGTGCTTCGAGTACTCAGCGACTGAGCAGACAAGATCCACTGGAATTGAAGGGGATGCTGTGATGGCTATTTGCAGAGTTTTTTGGTTTATGAAGCACTTTTCACACACAAGTGCCTCCTCCTTCTGTGATCTTGTTTATGGGTGCTCATTGTCACTGGTGCTTTCTGGTTTAGGGCCCAGGCTTTAGAAGGGATGCACCCCTCACGCTCACCCAGGCAGGGGTGTGGCATTTGTGTTGCCATCTTCTGAGGCTTTGGTCCTGGCTTCAGCAAGAGTTCATGGATGCCCTGTCTGATGTCAGCCAGAGCCCCTTGCTTGTTGGGAGAAGTGGTCCCGCGGGCTGTGGGGAGCAGGTGACCCAGTGGCCCTGCTCATTGGCATGTGGCACACAGCCAGGGCCACGCGGTCACATCTGCCCAGGGTCCTCTCCGGCGCCCGCAGCCCCTTGGGGAGCCACCACTGCTGGAGGTGGGTGGGAGCACCGAGCTCTCGGGAAGAGCCAAGGAGGGCTTGTTGAAGTGCTCTTTAAATCTTCAAGGTTTGGCGAAGGTCCCCGCCCAATTAGGATTATTTGTGGAAATATTATGATTGTTAAAATAATAATTCTGCTTGTCAAGTAATGGAATCATATGTGGGTGCATAAGGCAGGGAGCAAATGCTTCCCCCCGCTCCTGTTCCGCCCAGACATGTGCAAATGTTACTTTCAAAGCTCTGACATGGGGAGCCCTTATATCCTGCACTTAGACTTAAGCACTTTTTAATTGGAGAGTTTAGCTTTACATTGATTGCAAGCTTTATGCCAACAATGGCCAGTAAGCTGAGGATCCGCTGTGGAAGAAATGCAGAGGAAGTGAGCAGATGCCGCTGCTAGTGTTTGTGAGTGTGCATGTGTGTGCAAATGCCTCTCCTGTACCTACTCACACTCAGGCACACTTCACAATGTACATAGTGTGTATTTGCATTACATCGTCAGCATTCCTGAAGAACAATGCCTTTCAAACTTTACCTTGCTTAGAATCACCTGGAAATCTTATTAGAACCCACATTACTGGGACCCACGCCCAGAGCTGCTGATTCTGGAGATTAGGGGCGGTGCCTGGAGTTTGCTTTTCAAACCAGCTCCCAAGTGCTGCTGTGGAACAGTGCTGGGCAGAATCCTGGCTGCTCCGGGGCGTGCAGACCCCTGCCCTCTCTAGCAGCTCGCAAACTGAGAAGTGATTTCAGGCAAAAATCAGCCCTTGCGTTTGTCTTCCTGACCTTGAAGATGGGGTTCATATTTGAAAGGAACGTTGGTTTCCTGTGTCTGTGGTGTCTGAATGCCCTGAGCTTGTCTCCTGGGGATGGAGCCATCAGGATCTGGACCCGCCTGCCCGTTCTGTGGCTCTGGAGGAGGCAGGTTTCCGAGGCAGCTCTAGTTCCCCTCCAGTGACATGTGTGCAGATGTAGCTGTATTGTAAGTCAGCCCGCCCCAAACATACGCTCCGGTTTGGTGACAATCTTTCTAGCTCCTTTCATGTGCTGTGGTATCAGACAGAAAATGTAAACACACACACACACACACACAGATGAACACGTGTGTGTATAATGTTGGTGTGTGAGTGAGTGTCTTTTTGTCTCTGATCCTCAGATGAGATCATTCCTAATATTTAGTAGCTCCCGGGTTCACTCCCCCCTGCATTATTAAATATGTTAAGTCCGTACAATGAGCTTTTCATTTCAGCTATTGTGTTTTTCAGTTCTAGAATCTTTTTTTATTGTTTCACTTTGTCTGTTAAGGTCACCCCCTTTCAGTAAAGGGGACCCTCTGTTCTGCCCTCTTCATAGACGTCTATTCTGGTGGCCTGCCTAAGGACGTGGTGGGCAGTCTAACCGCTGTAAGCAGGTTGTGAAATGAGCCCTTAACTAGGCCAGTGCCATCCCACAGAAATACCGTGATAACTACTTTTGTAGCTTAACATTTTGCGGTCAGTCTCCGAAAAAAAAAAAATTAGAAAGAAACAGTTAATTTTAAAAATGTTTTATTTAACTCTGCGTGCGGAACTTGTACATAACTCAGCGTGTACTCAACATAAAAGTTATGGGAGATATACTTATGTTCTGTTTGTTTGTAGGAAGTCCTTGAGGCCCAGTGTGAGTTTTGCTCAGCGCTGGCCACCTCTCAGGTGCTCAGACCCCGGGCGCAGGGGCTTGGTTATGGGACGGCACCTCTCTGCCCATCACTCCAGGGGTTTGGTGGATCCGACTTCAGATCTGGCGAAAGTCCTGCACGTCGGGAGGCTGGGTTTGCAGCTGCTCCTGCAGCCTCCCCAGGCTCCCGCAGCCAAGGCCACGTCGCGCTCTCCAGCCTCCACGTTGTTGCTGCCTCCTCTGGGGCCTGAGTGTGGGTTCCCACGGGGAACGGGGCGTCAGAACAAGTGGTGCTCGCCCGCCCTCTGCTCTGGAGGTGCAGCCTGGCTTCTGGATTCCGTGTGGTCGGGGCTGCTTTCTGCTCTAAGCCGTGGCACGTGGCTGGGCGCTCCAGGACAGCCTTCTTAGCTGTTCGCATGCTGGGCAGCCCCTCTGCTTGCTGTGTCTCAGGTGCGGGAGCTTCTCTGCGACCGTTCGTTTATCCTGAAACTGCAGCTGGTCCCAGGTCTCCCCTTGCCTGTCACTGGTCCGTGTTTTCTGTGCGGGTGAGTGGGCATCCCGGGCAGCTGCTTTTCCCTCCCGTCCTCCTCCAGCATCACCTCCCAGTTTCCGCACCTCTGACTTTCAGCAGCTCCTACGTGGAGAGTACGTGGAGCCACTAGTGATATTCTGAAGACGAATGTAAATGAAAATCTCTTCCATTTGTAAAGGACATGGCAGTGCAGGGGAGGGTGTGTGTGAGGAGGCTGTTGGTGGACAGTGGGCATCACCGAGGAGCGTGAGCCCGGTGCGAGGGCACCGTGTGGAATGATGGCCAGGAGAGCCCGATGGGCAGAGCGGAGCCGCCTTCTCCTTCTCCTCTGGGAGAATTGGACCCACAGCACGGGGCGGGGCTGGGGACAGCTTCACTCGCTGACTCCCAGGCTAGATGCTCATACTGTCAGTGACACACGTACTTTTTTTGAAGTATCTTATTGAACCATAAACCAGAGCCAATTCTGCAAACTACTGACAAGGATTACATTGGGATAGTATAATCAGATTCCTTAGAAGGTCACAAACATTTTATGTTATGATACCTACTGGCCTTACCTTACCTGTGATCCGCTAATGACCAAACATAGTCCCGTCTGAGGCACTGGGCTTGAGCGTTTCCACATGTGAATTTCGGGGAGACAGAGTTCCAATCCCATACCCGTCCCTACCGGACTATGTGGAAGGGGACTGGAGCTGTGAGTAAGGAATTTTAATTTTGCTAAGAGTATCTGGTAAAGAAATCGGTTTTTCTGGTTATGTCTCAGTGGCTTCTATACCTGCTCAATTTGTAGTTTTAACGTAACTGTGTTAACAGGGCCTCTGGTCTCCCCACCTCCCCTCGCTGCCCTCAGGCCTCCGACCTGCCTGTGCTGCCCCAGGCCCGTGTCCTCCACGGTCAAGGCCTCCCCGGCTCGCTCCGCCTGAGCCGCGCAGCAGCGGGAATGAAAGCGTTTCTCCGTCGGGCCCCAGATTCCGTCTCTGTGTTGATCCTGGCGCACTCTCAGGCCTCTCAGGGGCTATTTGGAACCTCTCTCCACCCCCAAAATAGGAATAACTGCTTGAACAGTGGAAGTTTAACTTTACTGAAAATACTTCTCTGGAATCATTAGGGTAAAACCCGTACATGAGAGAGCCTGTTTTCCCAGTTAGCATGCTGGATTCACTTCCGTGGTTTTGAGACATTCAGCTTAAATCTCATAAAGGTAGCACTTCAGGTAGTGGACTAAGGAACAGCCAAATTCCTGCTCATGAAATCAGTTGCACAAGGTGGAGTGACTCTCTTCTTGAAAGTTGTCAAACCTAACCTATGTTTATTAAGCCTTATCAACATGACATTTTCCAGGGGGTTGCCAAAGATAGGGTGTTGAAGTCGTTT